CTCAGCCATTCCTCATAAGCCTTGTGCTCCAGACCCTTCCCCAGCTTTGTGCCTCTCTCTGCACTTGCTCCAGCCCCTCAATCTCTTGTGCTGAGGGCCCCAAAACTGAAGGCTGGATTCCCGGCGCTGCCTCACCAGTGCTGGTCCAGGGGGACAAATCTCTGCCCTGGTCCTGCTGGCCACACCTCTGCTGATCCAAGGCAGGATGCCAGTGGCCTTTTTGCCCACCTGGGCACACGCTGGCTCATGTCCACGCACTTGTGGGCCGACACCCCCAGGCCCTTTTCTGCTGGGCAACTCTCCAGCCACTCTGCCCGGCCCAAGAAATGCTGCAGGGTTCAGCTTGGCCTTGTTGCACCTCATACCATCAACCTCTTCCATCAATCCAGCTTGTCCAGGGCCCTCTGGAGATCCTTCCTGCCATCCAGCACCGACTTGGTGTCACTGCAAAGTCTCTGAGGGGGCCATCCCCTCCTGCAGATCATTGACACAGGGGTTGGGCAGGACCGGCCCCAGGACTGAGCCCTGGGGACACCACTGGAGACTGGCTGCCAGCGGGATGCAAGTCCTGACCAAGCAGCCAGGTTTTACCTCAGTGAACAGTGCACTGCTCCAAGGCACACCAAGCACTTTCTCCCAGAGAATTCTGTAGGAAACAGTGTCAAAGATTTTACTAAAATCCAGGTAGTCAACACCCACAGTCTGTTCCTCAAGCACAACCTGCCTTTCAGGAAGCCATGTGGACTGGCCCTGGCCCCCTGCTTGTTCTGTACGTTCTGTGTGATGGCTCTGCAAAGGATCTGCTCTCTGATCTCCCCAGTGCTCAAGTCAGACTTATGGATGGGCATCACATTTGCCAGCTTCCACTCACCTGGGCCCTCTGCAGTTTAGCATGGCTTCTGGTAAATGATGTTAAGTGGTTTGGTGAACACTTCTGCCATTTCCTGCCGTACCTTTGTGTTAATTTCCTCCGGCCCCACAGACCTGTCTGTATGTGTCTAAGTGGTGTTGCTCTTAACATTTTCCCTTGGAGTTTGAGAGCTTTGTTCTGCTCCTTTTCCCTGACTTCTAGTTCTGGGTCCTGGGTACCCAGAGAACAACCTGGTTGTGTTTCAAGACTGAGGCAAAGGAATTAAGTACCTCAGACTTTTTCTCATCCTTTGTGCTCATTTTTCCCCCCACCTTCAGTTCTGGTTGGGATTTGTCTCTTCTAATGTTCTACTTGCATAAATTCATGACATCTTTGTAGTCCTGCTGGGTGGCTCAGAAGGCAGCTCACACTGACTTCCAGACATGCTGAGTGCTCAGCCTTACTCCAGAAATTCAGAAGATGAGAAGGATGCAGTTATTGTATCTCCTCATCCTTTGAGGATGTTGTCTTCTGAATAACAGCCCCCAAGGACAGCTGACAGTTCCTCAGCACTCCCCAGCACAAGACAGATGCCAGGTGCTCAGCACATGGTCAGTACAGCCTTTTCTGTGGCTCCCTGTCTTCACAGATGTCTGGAAGTCCCTTGAGGTGAAAAATATTTTCATACAGACAAGCATCCACTATTCAGCTTTTCTGCGCCCTGGCTCACTTTAAAGCCAGGACAGGCCTTAGCTGGGGAAGGTGCTGTGGCTTGAGTAGTGTAGGATTGTCTGAAATTTTTACACTTCACAGGCCAGAGCAACAAATCCAGGTTGCAGGACCTGCTTGAACCCAGTGCTTGCAAACTTCGAGTGATCTGCAGCATTCAAGCAGGGAGAATGACCAGCAAAGTGGAAACATGAGTATCAGCCACACGGATTTCCGCGTGAAAGGACTGGAGGGAGAAATGTTGTGCTCCTACCTTGCATGGCCAGTGCCAAAATGATCTACCATCTCCCAGTGCTGCATATATAAACAAATCTTCCTCACTTCTCTAAGTGTACTAAGTGTACAAAGTTCACAGACCTGAAACTGATTCGGCCAAGGTTCCCCATGGTTCAGCCAGCAATCTCAGCCTTGCAGTGTCACCTCTGCTATAGCAGGTGCCCTGTTTGTTCCCCAGTGCTCCTGGACCACCTGCTCTTCTAGGACAGAATGCCACAAACAGCTGACCTGGGGTGCGCCAGTAAGCTCTATCTTTCTGGTTGAATTTATTTAGTTTGCTTCTTCAGTTTTGTCCTTAAGGACGTCAGTTCCTCTATTTCAAGGTAGAGAAAAATGTCCATGTGTCTGTCTCTCAGAGATTGAACAGTGACATCCAGCGGCCACTCACTTTGCTAAAAATGGCAAAATTGTGTCAGCAGAGCACTGTGAGGATGTGCAAGGGAGAGCCGGCACCCTGGAGTGTGCTGAGCAGCACAGGAGCAGCTTGGGCTGCGGCAGAGTGCTGAGCAAGGAGTGCAGACCCACCACGTCTCCTTCCCTCTCTGTTTCCTCTGAAGGGTTTTTCACTAGTCACTGCAACACTCCAGTTGTCTTGGGCCCATTTGTCTCCCCACCCTTGGTAATGGTCATTTCTTGTCACAAGTTCTGGGCCACAGCCCATGAAATATGGCTGCTCCATAGAAAAGAAGCAGCCTTTTAGTACTTTTGGCCTAGTCATGGCACAGCAGCTTTGAGAACATGAGGAAAGGTCTAAAGTAACTTTCAAGGGCTGTGGATAATATAAAATCACAAGACTGATGAAATAGACACTAGTATTGATAAGAAGTGGCTGCCAGTATAGTGCTAGGCACTAACATCTGAGAAAACCAAAAGGCACTGCAGCTGGAAGATAAAGGATGAAAAACAGAGGGAGAAGAATAACTGTGGGACAAGGACAAGGGCAAGGGGTTCCTGTGTAAGAAAGAAAATGAGGAAGACATTTCCAACAAGAGACCCGAGTGGGAGTCTCCTTCTCTGGCAGGCAAGGAATGCATCAGGCAGGGCCAGCATGCAGGCCCCACCCATGCATGGCCTCACAGCCTCTAATAAGGCAGAGCTGATTGCTCCAGCTCCAGTGCACTGTTGGGGATCACCTGTCAAAAACTGCAAATCAGGCCCAAAAGGAGCTGCTGTGTGTCCACCCTCTACTGGACCAATGCTTGGAGTGAGTACTACCTGAGATGTTGCCTTTGCTCTTGCTGAAGGCATCTGCCAGGATGCAACCTGCACAGACTTTAAAGGGGACATGGCATAACCTGCCTCATGGTACACAGGGAAGAACCTCCAAAGTGAGAGGAAAGATTCCAAAGAATTCCCAAGTGGGGTTTTTTTGCATGTTTTCACATTTGACAGGCAAGAGGCTTATCTTATATTCAGTGCAGTACAGCAGTAAAACAAGAGAAAAACAGTTCTTGCTCCACCAGGTTGAACTGCAGACTGCAAGAGGCTGCATCATTTAGCTATTGGACAGGCTAAAACCAATATTTGTCAAGGATTTTATGAGGTGGTTAATGGACTGGAACACACTAAGGATATAACATATTAGTAATATGAATACAAATTTACTACAAAAAAAAAAACTAAAATGACAAACCCAAAATATGCAGATGGTGTCCAGACAGCTCTGAGTAATAAACTGAAAGTTAATTAAACTGGACTAGGTGGTGACTTTAGCTACTGTGGAGAATACCACACAACAATTGTAACAAGTGGGTTACTTCTATGTTCTCCATAATCAAACCAAATCAGAGAAAGGCAAAAAGTCTTCCAAATGCTGTGGTGCTTGCATGAAATATAGGCACTAATACAAAATAGCTACCAGAATCTCCCAGGGTTTATTATTCATTTTGATCCAAGATTGGCACAGACCCAATTTCACTAAGCAAGGAAAACACCCAAGTGTGCTGCTAATCCTTTATAACAAAGCTTTCACAGAGACAGCCCTAGTAATGCAGTCCCAAGTAACACGTCCAGGCTTCTGAGCCTGCTGACACATTGACCTCCTGCAGGCTGAAACTTCTTGATTTGCTTCTCTGCACCTCTCACGGGCACACAGCCTTGCCTGAGACCTGCACCACAATGGCACAAAACCTCTGAGAGATGCCTCCTTTAAAAGCACCCTTACACCAATAAAGCAACTTGTAGGGATGAGGTCTTTATCAAACCTTCAGCCTTTTCTTTCTTACGTGGGGTCACAGCACTTTCAGTTTCCTTCGGGAAGGAAACATAATTATAATGTTCAGGGCAGGGAGAAGAGTAAAGGAAAAGTACTTGTTTAACAATGGCAGGAAGGCAAAAAAACAAAAGTGCCATAAATCTATTTCTGTAAAAGCAATGTCTTTTTTTCTTTTTCTACATCTTTTCTGTAAGTATGTTTGTTTAGGGATGCTGATTGCCTTGAATTTTCCTGTTTGTTTGTTTGTTTTAACTTACAAAACACACGCAGAGAAAAAAAAACCAACAAAACCCCACACCAAAACAAACAAAAACAACAACAACAAAAAAGAAAGCCCGAACAACACCCCGCCTTAAGAACTCACGATGAAATAAACCCTTTAGGAACTTCCTTCCCTCCACCCCTCTTGCTTTCCTTCTTGCTGCCTGTCTCTCCGCCCCCGGAGGACATCGGCGCGGTCCCCGGTGCACACACAGCGGGCTGGGGAAGTTCAATCCCAGTTCAGGGGCGGGCAGGGAACACTGTGTACTCGGCACGGCACTCGGGCGGCTGATGCGACACTCCCCCGCCCGCCCGCATCCAGCCCAGCTCCGCCGCCTCCGCCGCCCTTCTCCCGCATGTGCGGGGCGAGCGCTGACAGGCTTCTCCCTCCCTTCCAGAGGGGCGCAGGAGGTCCTTGCCTTCCCAACTCATCCTCCACCGATTTTAGTTAGAGTGAAAGTACGTCCACGGAAAGGTTTGTGACCCTGGGATGGATGGTGGGAACGCCTCTCCCTTTCTGCAAACACCGCTTGTACAAGGACTAGATAAGGTGTTCTTGCTTGTCGCCAGCACCTGAACTCCAGGTCCGAGCCCGGGGTCCACCGCTGACTGACTTCTGACTGGCCTCCAAGAGAACTGACAATAAACAGGGGAATACCTCTTTCCTCCTTAGGGCTGCATCCAGCCAAGCCCCGGTACATCACCCGAGCGGAAAGGGTCTCTGCGTGGATCAGGTTTCCTCCCAGCAATGCAAAGTGTGGCCTCCTCATCACACCGCCTGTGTGCTGGTTAGGGGAGCTCTAGCAGGAGTGTGTATTGCGCTGGATTTGCCAAGAGGCGGCTGCAATGGGAGCAGCATAAGTGTTGACTGCAGAGATGCTCTCAGCTGTGAGAGAATGTTCCCTGCTGACCTGTATATGTAAATCGTGGTGATTCATTGCTTCAGCAGTCACTGGGTCTTGTTACATTTTAAGTGTAGGAAAGTGAGACTTGTACTGCACTCTCATCACGTAATCTGGCTGTTTTTTCCTGTATCAGAAGAAATGCAGAGAACTGAAAAAGCCACAAGCATTCCATATACATAAGAGCACTGAGGCTTTTTGTTACATGATAACCTCTAATTGAAACCTGGCTATGAAAAAAGTATGAATTCTTACAATCACTAAAAAACAAACTGACTGTAAAACTGATCTATACTTTTCTGACAGATTGGTCCTAGTGTAAGATTATGCCAAAAAAATGAAACCAGAGGTCGCCACAGTGAAGGTTGAGAGGGAGAAAAAGCCATGAAGAAGGAATGCTACTTGTCCTTTACAATGTAGTTAATAATTGCAGGCTGATAGGTGCCTGATAGGGAAGACAGGCAGGAATTATGGGGCTGTAGAGAGATACAATTCGGGCCAATGTTCTTTGTGGATTACTATAAGGCACAGTCTTAGGCTCATCTGGGCTGCAGGATGACAGCTCTATATACAGGGCTACTTTTCAAAGTGTGTGTTGAAGAGTTTGTGGTACTTGTCTTTTCAATCTTACAATGCCTGCATGTAAGCAGTTTCCTTGTTGGCTAGTAAATGGAGCATGCTGGAAACAAAGGTATCTCCAGCTTTGCCTTAAACTTACCAGATCCATCAGCATGTTAAAAAAACAACAAACATTACTCATTCCCATTATTGCCTTCTCTAAAAAAAAAACGTATCTCTGGCCTAAACACATGGTTTGTTCATTCTTCTCTGTCTAGGACTGAACTTCTCATTCATTGAGAATGAGTTTCAAAAAGATGGAAACTCTGACATTGATAATGGAATCTACAACCAAAAGAAAATATACAAATTCCAGCTGCATAACATTGGCTGTCACAATGAGCAAGCAACCCTTGGCCATTGTTACATTTTTTTTTGTACATGCATTATTTTTACATTGTGATATTTTTATATCTGCAGAGATGAAAACTGAAAACAACTGGCTTCCTACAGAGTTAGCTGGATCTTTATGGGGAAACTGAGAGTTTAGTATTTTCTACAAAACCATGCAGGAGTTTGCATAACTTCCAGTACAAGTTCCTTCCGTTTCTTTCCCTATTTGTTCCATGTTCCATCTGATGCCATTATTTATTCTGAAGTGGTACCCTCAGACATTTCTGACTGTCATGTCTCCATCAATTTCTGCAAATATATAAAAATACTTTGATCATTTTAAGATGGGAAAATATTCCTCCTCAAATCATCTATGCTTCCCCCCTTAACTGGACAGATTAAATTCAGAATCCGATTATTCATAATTAATCCCTGGGCATAACAATGCTTTTATTTCAGCTTCAAAGGAATGATTTCACAAGATTTTTTTCTGTGTCTTTTATTTTTCGTAACTAATATGCTGCCCCAATTCTACAGACAGTGGTGAAATGCAAGGGTTTTCTAAATTTTTCTATATTGGCAAAAAATTGCAGTGAACACAAAAGACAACTGTTGCTTTCACATAATATAAATTCAAAGATCAATATTGTAGCATACTGTAGCAAACCTACATCATCTTGTATGTGTGCACACACAACCCACACACTTTCCATGAACCTGCACAGTGGCTGCAATAGCTTCTGCAGTGCCACTAACAGGAAAGACTCTTATGGCCTAAGGAAGATAAACAAGGTATCATCATCTGCATCCATTTTTCAGCCAAACATATAACTATCTAGAACTCAAGTGGAAGCAGTTTTTACCTCTCAGCAAGGATTTGGTGAATCTTTGGAATCTTTGCGTTTCATCACTTCAATTTTCTAATTCTTGCTTTAACTTTCAGTGGCTACCAAAATATTTGACATGCTATATACCCTGCTGTTGTTTCCTTAAACCCTACTGCTGAACTTTGAAGGCAAAACAAAGCTGTAGTATATTTGGCTCTCACTCTGAAATGCAGCTGAAAGACTTCACAAGCGCAGAAACCACAAGGTGGTAACATATGTGTGTTGCTAAACAATTCCAATACAATGCACGATTACCCTGTACTGGGCACTGGTGAGGCCACACCTCGAGTCCTGTCTTCAGTGCTGGGCCTTTCATGACAAGAAAGATACTGAGGAGCTGGAGCAAGTCCAGAGCATGGCAACAGAGCTCGTGAAGGCTCTGGAGTGCAAATCCTGTGAGGAGTAATTGAGGGATTGAGGGTGCTGGAGGTGTTCAGCCTGCAGAAAGGGAAGTTCAGATTTCTACAACTGCCTGAGAATAGGCTGTAGCAGGGGAGAGGCAGGGGGGGGTGGGTCATTCTTCCAGTCAAAAAGTGATAGAACAGAAGGAAATGGCCTCAAGTTGTGCCAGGTGAGGTTTAGACTGGATATTAGGAAATATTTTTTCACTGAGGGTAGTCAGGCATTTTAACAGGCTTTCCAGGGAAGTGGTTGAGTGACTGTTTTCAGAGGTACTTAGAAGATGTGTGGATGCAGCATTTCGGAATAGGATTTAGTGGTGAACATGGTGATGCTGGATTAAGCTGGATTTGATGATCTGTGAGGAAGTGATGATAGCACCACATAATAAATGGAAATGGATGTAAGAGGCTGGATCACAGAGAATGCTGAAAGTAAAGCAAGGGTGCTTGGACTTGTGTGGCTTCAACCAGAAAACTGGTCGAGAAATCTGAGGAATTAATTCAATTCTCCAGAAGTATGATTGCACTATCATGCATTGAGTAGATTGGGGATGGAGATGAAGGGTGAAGAAAAGGAAAAACATATGGTTTTTCCATAGCAACATGGTTTTCCAAAACAACACTACAAGTTGTGGTAAAGCATTAACAATGAAAGCAAGTGTTGAGACTGGAATGCCCATCCCTGAGCTCCCAGACTTCTTTTGGCAGTCTGTTTCTATAGAGACAAAGTAAGAAATATGTACATCTATCATGCTAGAGAACACCTGGTGGCAACAGCAGAACAAAGGAAGGAACTGTTGGTATTCCCTGAAGGAATATGCATGGTTATAGCAGGTACTCCAAAACAAGAACATCTTTTATCAATCTGCATTTTCCAATGGGACTAGATGCAGCCACAGTGGTGAAGTAGGAGGCTGTGCAATGGTACAGCCTTTTATGGTGGATGTCAGTCGATCAAAATGGTGGGAAGGACTGTAGAGATGCGCAAGTACTGCCTGGTAGCACAAGAACATGCACTATACTACTCAGTGCTAATAAGGGGGATAGAGTTAGGTTTACAGTCCACTTAAAACCATAGCTTGGCTGATTATTTATCTCATGACATCTGTGCTGAGCTATAAGGTTTTAACAAGCAGTTGGCTGTGATCCTGTAGCCCTATCAGTAAATCTGCCCTCTCATCCACTATTCCGTTTTTTTCCTGTTATTAACTAATGGTCTGTCAGAACAACTGCTTCTCTGCCTCTGGTTTTCACACTCTGAGAACACTCTCCTTCCTCTTGGTATACAAATGCTGAGGAAGTTTATGTAAGTTATTAGGATTGTAATTTTTATTTTTTTTTTCCTTTAATGTTCATGCTGCAGACAGGAAACAAATATCTTACAAGCCTCCCACACTAGTGTCTGTAAGCATATCCAAATACTAATCCATTCTGACACTGTCAAGGGCAGCAACCTATTGTAAGGGTGAGACTACCACATCCCAGCAAAGCTGTAGCTCTTGATGGTACTGAGTTGCAAAGGAAAGTTTGTCTAGATTTTTCTGTGAATGGTTGAACAGTCTCAACTGATCCATATTTTTGTTCTAAATCAGAATGGGGTTAGCAGGTTTTATTCTCCCAGAACCATGAATTAAAACACCTAATAGGAAAGCATAGGGAAATAAATGGCTCATCTTAGTGTAAACTCATATTTAGACCATAGTTTAGCCACCCACATAAAATTATATTCACTGCAACTTGTACTTCTTATAACTCAGTAAGAAATTACAAACAGACCAATTACCCCAAAGGAACATGACATAAATTATAATGCATGCTCAGAGACACATTTCAGTTTCCTTTCTCCTCTACGTTTATTTATTTTTGTGCACAGTGAGGTACCCTGGCCTAGTAAATACTCTTGCTCAGCAATTGCCTTGATTATTAAAAGCTCTAGGAGTTTGTTCAGCCAAATACTAAAAGCTTCCATTTCTTTTCTTCTGTTTTAGGGAGATTCATTCTTAGCATGTATATTAATTCTTAGTTGCAATTAAGTTTTGGGGCAGGTTTTTTTGTTGTTGGTTGGTTGGTTTGGTTTGGGGCTTTTCTGTTTGTTTTTTATTTCTCTCTTACATTTCCACAGCATGCATGTCAGACAGAGCACTAAACACAGCACTCCCTGCATAGCTGTAAGCAAAACAGGTTAAGAGTATGTGAGATTTTTAAGGACTCTGTTACATATTTATAGCAAACTATACAAACATACATTTAGTGGGTTAGGTCTCAGGTCACAACTGTTTTATCTCACTTATTTATATTATAATCAAGCTTATCTGTTCATCAGCCAGCATCCACACATAAGTGTGGGTGAAACAAAGTGCTTCCTAGGTTTTCCTTTCTTTTTGAAATATAAATTCTTTGCTGTAGAGGAGTAGCACATTTAAACACTTGCAATGCTCATTTGTTCCACAGTAACTAATGGCAGGTTATAGCTGTAGGTGCCTGCATAAAGCTTCATGATTACCAAACACCCCAGTCTTCTCCAGCAGGAAGGAGGGTGCATTGTTAATACTGGTTTCAGTGTCTCATCAAGAGATTTATTAGTAGCTTTCTGTCTTGGAATGGACAGGATGGTGGAATGAAGAGGGACAGACATATACACAATGAGAACAGAAAAGGTGGGAAGCATAATAAATTTTGAAGTTAAAACTACCCAAGGCAGCCCTGCAGTTCTGCAGAACCATCTCTATGCACAAATCAGGAAAGAGAAGT